CTGCCTGGAGATGGATAGAGGAGTGGTGTCTCGGTTCCTAAGACCACTGGAAATATATGTTTTCCAATGGTCTTAGGTGACCCCTGTGAAAGGATCATTCGACACACTCCCTAAGGGGTCGCGACCCACAGGTTTAGAACCGCTGCTCTAAATGGACAAAGCTGGAAAAAGAGCCTCGATCTAACGTGATCCCCCTTACAGGAAGTTTTTCAAAGTTTCCATGAAGGTTTGGTAGGAAAAAAATATTCATGGAATTGCTTTAGCTCCAAGGTTTTAAGACCTTGAAGGGAAAAAAACCCAAATTGCACATGATAATGAGGCAGGACACAGTAAACTTTCTTTTATAATCAGTGTTCAGCATAAATGAACAGAGCTGCCTGTGGTCACTGCCATCGGGAGGATGGGGCATCCAGGTGGAGCTGCTGACTGGTTACAGGGTCCCTGTAAGTTGGCCATGTGAATAGGCTTTAACTGAAATCATGTTTTGCAGTTTGCTGGTGGAGGAATTCCGATGAGTTGCTCATTAGTGGAACTCAATCATTTTTTTCTCTTCCCTGCTGGGCCACCAGCAAACTGTCCCCTGGAGCAGGGAGCAGCAAATTCCCCCAGGTAGAGAGAGGATCCCATGGGCTCTCCAGCAGGGGGCAGGGCAGTAAGCCTATACCTTTCTCCCCTGTTCAGAGATGACATCAGAATTTGAGAATTGACACAAGTTGGGCACTTTGGGCTTTAATTTGGCACAAACCATCATTAGCAACCACTCAAACACACTGCATCTGTAAGGTCTCTTTGGGCTTATAATCCCTTAAAAAGTAATGCCACCAACCTCTAACTCTTAAGGAACTTGTGTGTGTGGTTAGAATGAATTAGCTAAAATGACCCCAATCCACTAACCCACCCAAGGGGAGGGTATTGTTTATATCTCCACAGGGAAAGAGGGACCAGACTTCAACCCAGTGCTCCAAGATGTGAATGCAACATGCAGGCGTGGAGTAAGGAACTAGTGGAAAGGTTGGGGGGGCCCGGCCCCAATCCCAACTACTATGTGGACACCTGCCCCTCCCCCCAGAATAATTTATTTCAAAGGATGGCATTGAATCTGCAGCTCCGGGAGAGGGACATATCTAATCGGAGCACATGGGAGCAGATGATGGGGGAGGAGGAGAGAGTGGAGCACATCCTGGTCCACCAGGCCTTGAGGACGATGTTCCCGATTAGAGCAGCCAGTCCACAGAGAGGACCACATGGCTGGTCCCACTATGAGACATTACATCCCTCACTGACCCATAGCCCTATAGGGGACAACACCAGAGACACAGTGTGGGAACTGCACCCGATCTGATCCCACCACACCGAGGCAAAACACTACGGGGGTGCAACAGAACAGCAAGGGAA